CTGCCCGCAGCCCCGGGGCCGCGAACCAGCGTCTAGAGCCCGCCTCTGGCGGGAACTTGTGCGCAAACTGCGGCGCGCCAGCAAGGCCGCCCTTCCAGACGTGACCCAGAAAGTAGGTGCGGCTGGCCCACTCGCACGGCGGGCTGTTGTGATGGCCGCTGTGTTTTTGTGTGTTTACTCTGCGCCTGAGAATATTTCTCCCACTGAGGGAGGGACGGACGGGCGGGCGGACGCTGCCTCCCTCACCGCCCGACCCGCGCCCGGGGCGAGCCCTGGGCCGGGAGTGGACGCCGGCCCTTCGCTGGGCAGGCTCGCGCTCTGACCGCCGAGCCAAGCCCGGGGCTGCCGTCGCTTCTTTATTTGACAACCGAAGGGAAGAGACTAAATAGTCAGGAATCGCGCGTTTTCAATCCTGGCGTTGCTGCGGTCTGCTGCCTGGAAGGAAACCGGTGAGATGGGGCCTATCAGCAAGTGGGGGTGAGGTGCCCCCGCTGGGGAACGCGCGTTCCTTGGGGTCCAGTCGTGGTCGTTTGGCTTAGACGACCCCTCCCAACTCTGAAGCTAAACCAGAGAACTTCTGCCCGGACTCCGCTTGCGCCCCACAGTGCTCAGGAAGCGTTCGCCGTGGGGTGCTGCTGAGAGCCCCTTCCTGGACAGTGGGTTCCCTTCCCACGGTGACCGTTGCCCCAAGGAGTGGCCTCGCGGGCCACCCTGCAGCCAGCGCCCTGGTCTGCAAGAGTCAGCCTGTGGTCTTGCAGCTGCCAGGCCTGGCCAGCTGTTGCCGGGACACCAGAGGCTGAGGACACTGGGCTCCAGGAGGGCCGCGGTCAACCTCCGCCGCGAGCCACCCCTCTGCTCGCAGGTCGCTAGTACTTTGTACCCCGCGGGCCTGTCCTCACTGTTTGTGGGAGTACAAATCGATGAGGCGGTGACACTGGCCAGAGGCGGGTGGGGTGCTCTGACGTGCTTTCCACAGGACTCTGGAATTACTGCCCCTTGGAGTGTGGCCGGTGGCCTTCAGACACCTCTGCCTGCTGGTTTGTTTGTTTTTTGAACCTCTCTGGAGGATACCCTCTTACTGGTTTTAGAGGGAGAGGAAGGGGGCGAGGGGGGGAGAGAGAGAGGAGAGACATCTCTTGTTTGCCTCCCATGGATCAAACCCGCAACCTGGGTATGTGCCATGACCCGGAATCAAACCCACAAGTGGGGGTGAGACAGCCCCTGGGTGGGGACATTTATCTTTTATGTTGAAAGTATTACAAATGTCCTTTTTTCCCCATTGACCCCTACCCTGCACCTGCCCCCAAACCCATGCTTTTTGGGGTATGGGATGATGCTCCAACCAACTGAACCAACCGAGCCACCCAGCCAGGGCTCCCCCTGCTGTTTTCATGAGAACGTGAAGGGACAGCCACAAGGGACGTCTGGGAGAGACAGCCCCTTCCCACCGCCCTCTCCCTCTTAAGCATGCTGGGGTGGGGACTTGGCCTCTTGGGGGGTCCAGGAGGCCCAGGGCCTTCAGGCCTCATCAGAAGCCATCACTGCAGGCGTACCCATTGGGAGGCATAGGGAGCTGAGGTTCGGGTCTGGGGATCCACTTCCTCTGTCCCTCTACATAGAGGGCCATCTACAGGAGGACCCATGGGCTCAAAAACTGATGGATTTTTTGGGTCAATGAGCCCAGCCAAGCTGAGGATTTTTTCCCTCTACCGACCATGCCACCTTCCTCCCAGCCAAGACCGAGGATCGGCGTGGCCATCGGCAACCAAATCCTGGACCTCAGTGTCATTAAGCACCTCTTCACTGGACCTGTCCTGTCCAAACACCAGGATGTCTTTGATCAGGTAGGACATTGTGACGTGGCTTGTCCTGGGTCTCAGGAGCACTGCAGAGCTGTAGCTATAGCCTGGGGGGAAGGGACAGCTGGCCCAGTGCCCCCCTGTGTCATCAGCCTGCAGTTTTCATACCCATGGGAAAGATATGAATTTACTTCCCTGCAGATGGTCAGGTGCTTTGATGTGCATCTTCCCATCCCACAGGTCAGGAGAGTGTTGTTTTTCTAATATGTTTTTATGGGTTTTTAGGGAGAGGGAGAGAGAGAAAAGACATCAATGATGAGAAATGGTCGACGATCAGCTGCCTCCGTGCCCTCTGCTGGGGACTGAGCCCGCAACCCGGGCCTGTGCCCTGACCAGAAATCAACAGTGACCTCTTGGTTCCTAGGCCAAACTGCACCAGCAGTATCCAGATAGCAGCTTCCTGGCTTTGCCCATTGTGAGCAAGCCCGTGAAGAGCTGAGTCCCATCAGGAGAAGTGACACCCTTCCCCAACTTGATGAACAGATTGACAGAGCTCAGAGCAAAAGTCTTGAGAGTTTCAATGACCTGGAGATGAGTGACAGGGCCCTGGAAGGCTGGCCAGCCTCTCCTATGTGTGACCTTTTTTCTTTCTGTTTTAGCCAACTCTCAACAGCTTCATGGGCCTGGGTCAGGCTGCCTGGAAGGAGGCGAGAGCTTTCTTGCAGAATTTGCTGTCTGCCAGTCATGCCAGGCTCAGAGATGACACTGAGCTTCGGAATCGGTGAGGAGCGTGTGGACATCAGTGACGGGTAGAAGAGGGCATTGTGCTAGTCAGGGCCATTCTGAGTCACCACAGGGCTGCCTTGAGCTCATGCAGCCCCTGCTCAGGCTGTGTGGAGGTGGGAGGGCTCCAGGTGGACTGGAATTACCCCTGAGCCACTGACTCACTTCCTCATGAGCATCGTCCGTGTCCTTGTCTGGTTCCCACAGTAGCAGTAATTTAGCTCATTCCCTACAGTGGAACCTAGACCCAGAGAAGAGCCATCTCAGATTTAGTGGGTGGACCCCCTCCCTGGTGTGGCCACTTCAGTCCAGCTCACTGAAGATCATGAGCAGGATTCAGGGGTGGTCTGGGTGGAGCCTGTGTGTGGGCCCCCAGAGCAGGGACCTCCCTCTGCCACTGGCTTGACCCTGAAGTCCCTGGTTCTGTTTCAGTGCTTTCGTGTCCCAGGCTTCTGCCACGATGCACCTTCCAGCTGCCATTGGTGAGTCCAGTCTCGTGACTAAGGCCATGCACGGAGCACCCTAGCGGGCCAGGACGGCTGGTCTCTACTTCCTGGTGGGGAGGGTCACTGGGGCTGTGACCCCCCCCTCCCTGTCACTGACTAACTCGGGCCGTGTCGAAGGCCAGAGATCTTATTTATTATTTGTTTCTTAGTTGGGAGTTCTGAAATAATTTTTTTTAATCCTCAACTGAGGATATTTTTTCCATTGCTTTTCAGAGACAGTGGAAGGGAAGGGAGGGAGAGAGAGAAAGGGAGGGAGAGAGAAAGAAACACTGATGTGAGAGAGACACGGCAACTGGTTGCCTCCTGCACTCGCCCCAGCTGGAGCTGGGGATCGAACCTGCAACCCAGGTATGTGCCTTTGACAGGGAATTGGACCTAAGACCCTTTGGTATGCGGGGCCAACACTCTAACCACTGAGCCACACCAGCCAGGGCTAATTTGTGTACATTTTGTGCTGAGCTTTGGGGTGGTGCGATGTTGTGTGTATGTGCTCACAGCCCCTGCCTGCCACCTCTCAGAACAGGATGCAGAGGAAGTTTGCTCTCCTGCTTCCTCCGCCTTGTTCCTCTCATCCTGGTCCTTGGAAGGCCCCTCCTGTGTCCTGAGGTGTCTGGGTCACTGATGGGCTCTCTGTGACTTTTCCTCTGCAGGTGACTACACAGACTTCTACTCCTCCCGGCAGCATGCCACAAATGTCGGGATCATGTTCAGGGGCAAGGAGAACTCGTTGATGCCCAATTGGTATGTCCCAGGCTGGAGCTTGATGAGTTCAAAGTCTGCCTTTCCACGTGTAGCAGCAAACAGTGATGACCATCATGTGTCACCACCTCTGGAAACAATGGTCTCACTTTCTGTTCCCCTCACCTCCGCCCTGGACCTGCTGCGGGGGGATCAAGGAGCAATCCCTTAAGCTCTTTTATATAGAGAATGGGGGTTGGAGCTAAACTCCCTGAGTCACTAAAATATCTCCAGGGTCTTTCATGCATAACAATGTAGCATTGTTCTGTGGGCAAGCCTCAGATCCTGGCATTCTTCAACTTAGAATTCTCTGATAATTGAGAATCCTCATGAGTGTCCAGTGCTGTACACCTCTCAGAGTGTGGTCAGTTCAAAACGGAGCTACGTTCTTTTATTGGACCCTCCCACCAGTTCAGTGGGGTCACCAAGGCTAGGACTGTTAGCCCATTTCACAGAAGGGAAAACAGTCTCGGAAAAGGGTTGATCTGTTTGAGGACCAACAGGGCCAGAGGCTGTCTCCTAATACCCAAGGCCACTGCCCAAGGCTTATCCTTGCCCCTTTGTTCCACGTGCTCTGGAGGTGACGGTTACTCAAACACAGTGGCATGTGCCCAAAACCCTGGCCAGTGGGGGAGAGGAAGCCCGTGTGCTTCTGCTGGGTGAGAACAATTGGGCCTTTCTCATGGTGCTTGGTGCCAGGCAGCCTGCACTGTGCCTTGCTTACTTTATGTATATGTGTCTTATTATAAAGGTAATATATGCTTATGGTGTTTCACCCAACCAGGCAATACAGGAAATCATAAAGCAGAACACTAAAAATTTAAAATGTGCCCTGGCCAGGTGGCTGGGTGGGTTGGAGTGTCCTGAGTAGGGGGCGTGCAGGAGGCAGCCGATCAATGTGTCTCTCTCATTGATGTTTCTCTCTCTCCCTCTCCCTTCCTCTCTCTCTAAAATCAATGAAAACATATTTAAAAAAATAATTTTTAAATGTATTCTGCAACATGTAACTGCATTGACACCTGCATCCTCTTGCCTCCCTCTCTCAGGTTGCATCTGCCGGTGGGCTACCACGGCCGTGCCTCTTCCATCGTGGTATCTGGCACCCCGATCCGAAGGCCTATGGGACAGATGAGACCCGATGACTGTGAGTGCCCCCAGGTGCAGGACCTGCCCATGCAGCTCTGTGTCCCCACATGGTGAGTTCCCTGTCCTGGTGCTCACAGCAGCCTCTTGTTCTGGTGTTGCTGCAGCTAAGCCGCCTGTGTATGGTGCCTGCAAACTCCTGGACATAGAGTTGGAAATGGTAAGCTGGGCTCTACATAAACAAGATGGCAGGCTCTGGTCCATGTGGCTCAGTGGTTGAAAAACTGCATTCAGAACCTCACCAGACCCCCCTTGGCAGCTGAGGTTTGGAAATGTCTGACTTTTGCCCTCCAGGCAAGTGACCTGGGGCTCCAGGTGAGCCCCAGATTCTAATCAGCTCTTCCATATGGCAGGCTTTCTTTGTAGGGCCGGGGAACAAACTTGGGGAGCCGATCCCCATTTCCAAGGCCCACGAGCATATTTTCGGGATGGTCCTCATGAACGACTGGAGTGGTGAGTGTGGGGTATTGGCGGCCTGAGGTCAAGTTCACTGCTGACGCTCTGCTCTGGGTGGAGACTGGGTATTTGGGAACACTTTCACAAAAGCCCAGATGGTTTCCTGGGTCTGGTGCTGACCAAAGGCAGCCAAGTGTGTGGGCTTGGATACCAGACTTCTTGGCTCTGAGCCCCAGTGTTCCCGTAAGTTGAACAGGAACAAGGGTCATGTCATAGCCTATAGGTATGAGCAGTGTGTGCAGGCCATCTGAATGCCTACTGGTAATATCATTCCCATTTTACAGGTGAGGCACAGAGAGATTTCAGTTCATTGCAGAGCTAGGATTTCAAACTCAGCAGCCCAGTCTCTGAGCCTGTCTCAAACCCTGTGCCACATGCGGGGGGAGGTGGTGCCTAAGTCCAGAGGTGTTCACCTCCCAATTTGAGCCTGAGAGACCTGCCCCTTCATGAGGAAGGATCCTGCCTGCCCAGGTCATTCTTCTCTTTGCTGGAACCTGGCACAGTGACCCCAAAGGACTTCTGTCCTGGGCATGGAATGCTGTTGCCCCTTGGTCCTAGGGCAGACTGTTGGAGCCAGAGCACCTCGGGGGGTGGGGGAGGCTGTGCTGGGCATCTGTGGTCAAGGGGAGGAGGGAGCGTTGGGACAGGGCCCCGGTCACCTTGCGTAAGCCTTGCTCTTTTTCCTGCAGCTCGAGACATTCAGAAGTGGGAGTACGTCCCTCTCGGGCCATTCCTGGGAAAAAGTTTCGGAACCACCATCTCTCCATGGGTGGTGCCCATGGACGCCCTCATGCCCTTTGTGATGCCCAACCCAGAGCAGGTAAGCACAGCTTCTGCAGGAAGCTCCCAACCCCGGCCTCTCTGCTCTGAAGCTTCTTGCCCACCTGTTGGCGAGGAAGCTCTGTGCCCCAGCCAGTGTGCCCACATGTGAATTCCAGGCAGGCACCAATCATGCTGCCCTGTGCTTTCCCGTCCCCCTGCACAGTCCTCGGGGAAAACACGAAATTTCGTAACCTTCAGAATCCTCTGAGGCCAGGGGAACTGGCTGTTTGGCAGGAGAAGCGATCCCTGCCCTTGCCACCACATTGCACAACTTACCAGGCGGTCACGTTTTCAGTGCGATGGCGCCCCTGGAGCCAAAGTGGTAGAATGCAGTTTGGAGCTGGGAACCAGCATTTGGTTCAAGCCTTGCGCTCTGGGAAAACGCGGCTTGAGGCCTCGCTGCAGACTTTCTGGCCTGGCGGTCAAAGCAACCTCCACAGAGGGTCCCGCCTTAGTCGGGCGGAGAGCCTGTTCTGGCTGCGCCTGCCTCCCCCTTCCCTCTCTGTCCCCTGGCCCTTCGTTTCCCACCTCTGGCTCTCCCACTGTGCACCTCCCCCTGGACTCCACTCCCTGCCCTTCTGGGACATCTGATTCAGCCCCTGTACCTTCGACCTGCTTATGGCCCTCCTCAGCTTCTCTTCCCAGAGTCTGGCACATAGCATCACCCTCGCCTCTCGCTGACGAGAGACATGGTACTGGGTCCCTGGAGAGCTGCCCCTCCACCTCATGTGCTTCGCTGAGGGTCCCTGACAGTGATCCTCTGTGCTGTGCTCTGCCCTCGCAGGACCCCAAGCCCCTGCCATACCTCCGCCATGACCAGCCCTACACATTCGACATCAACCTCTTTGTCGCCCTGAAAGGTACTGTCATAGGGTTGGAGGATTGCAGGGGCTCAGTGGGCACTGCCATTGCCGATGGCTCCTGAGCTCCAGCTGGATAATGGGACGTGTAGGCCACAAAATTCACCTTACAATGTGTTTTTTTCCCCTTCCTGATGAACAGGATTGAGTCTCTTTGTCAATGTTACTTGTTTTCCAACAGGAGAAGGAATGAGCCAGGCAGCGACCATATGCAAGTCCAATTTTAAGGTATGTTTGGGAGCTGGGCAAACTTCTTGTAGAAGTGAGGGAAAGAGGGAGCTGTTCCTCCAGGCAGCAATGGGGGAGTCACATCTATGTTAGCATATGATGATGGGTCCCAGGTGGGCCCCGAGCTTCCATGGCCACATTTCTTTCCAGAGAGGCCCTTAGGTCACAGAGACCCTGAACTCAGATGGAGGCTGCACAGATGTGGCCAGTGATTTTCCTGGGGAGATGTTCCTGAAAGGGTCTAGTCTCTGGCTTCTGTCGTGCAGGGGCTCTGGATGGATCAGAGTGACTTAATTTTTTTTTAGGTGAACTTTCATTTTTATATATGTTTTTATTGATTTCAGAGGGAGGGAGGGAGAGGGAGAGTAAGAAACAGCAGTGATGAGAGAGTCATCAATAGGCTGCCTCCTGCACGCCCCTGCTGGGGGTCAAACCCGCAACCCCCGGCATGTGCCCTGACGGGGAATCGAACCCCAATCACCTGGATCCTAGGTCGACGCTCAACCGCTGAGCTGCGCTGGCCGGGCTCCATGCTGCTGTTGATGGCCATGTGCGTGTTTCCCCTTTTGGGCAGTTATAGACTTACCACGAATGTCCTCGTCTGCCTCTCAGTGCATATACGTGCACGTGTCTGTGGAGTAGACATTCCCAGAATAGAATTGCCGGGTCATGGAGCACATATATCTCTCTATACATTAAGCCCAGAAGAGCTTCCAAACAGCCTTTCCAAAGGGGTCATACAATTCACACTCCCATGGGCATCGTGTAAGCATCTCAGCTGCCCGGCTGCTCCATGTCATCACGTGGCGGTGTTTGCCCTTTTGTTTTGGCCTTTCGGGGGAGTGTGATTTCAGTGTGTGTTTCTAATGACTGATGCACCTTTCCTGTATTTGTTGTCCATTTGCACACCCTCTTGAGTCCCTATGTCCTACACTCTTCCTTCTCAATTGATTCTGGGCTCCTTGGGCTACTGAGAAATAAGGCTTCCTTGGAGAATTTTTAGACAAGAATCTATTTCACTCCTGGAGCTACACATCTAAGTGTCCTCTGCCTGGATGTGTAGCTCCAGGGGTGGCAGATCTAAGAAGCTGTGGGTGCAGAGAGGCTCAGGCGGGCACTACACCTGAGCCTCTGAGGGGCGGACACACGGTCCTGGCCCCTTTCCCTACAGCCTGACCTCCCTTCATGCTCTTTTGTTCCAAGGCCCAGGGTGGGAGAGGTCTCTGCTCATAAGATGCCTCTGCTGTGATGAGGACCTTGTCCACTTAGGGGTATTCGCAGGACAGAGTGTAATTATGGACAGATGAGCAGGCTGCACACCAAGGCTGCTCAGGGGCTACTTCTTGAAAAAGGTGGGGTGGGGCAGGTCTGACACAGAGAGAGGAAGGTCTCTGGGCAGCTCTGCAGGAGGATGGCTGTGTTGTTGCCTTAAGGAACCTGGGAGAGGGTATGAGGCCCATGAGGAAGCCCTGGAGGCCACTGTATGGGGAGCAACATGTGATGGGGCCTGTCCCCACCTCTGCCTCTTGCCCGCAGTACATGTACTGGACGATGCTGCAGCAGCTCACTCATCACTCTGTCAATGGCTGCAACCTGCAGCCTGGGGACCTGCTGGCTTCTGGAACCATCAGCGGGCCGGTGACTATCTCCTTGCCCTGGGGGCTCCCCATACAGTTAGAGCTCCCCTCCTCTGCTCCCCACACAGCAGCCTGGACAGCCCCCAGCTCACCCTGGGGAGGTAAGTCCATGCAACACTCTCCTCCCTTTTTTGTTCCAAAGGAGCCAGAAAGCTTTGGCTCCATGTTGGAGCTGTCGTGGAGGGGGACCCAGGCCATCGAACTAGGGAATGGACAGACCAGGAAGTTCCTGCTGGATGGAGATGAAGTTGTCATAACAGGTGAGGCACCCAAGCCGTGGCTTCGTCTCCTCACCTGCACGTGCTGCCCCGTCTTCTGTGCCCCCATCTGTGCAGCTGCGCCCCACACTGGCATTCCTGGGGTTGTGTCTGCTTGCTCTGTCCCTTGCCCCAGCCTTGACTACAAGGGGCTTTTAGTCTGATTCTCCCCAGACTAAAAAGACCTCGGATGTACACCCCGCTTTGTCCCCCTGCTCCCTGAGCAGGATAAGATAGTGTCATGCTCCTGTCATTCTGGACTTGGCGGTGTGGAGGCCCTGTGTCTGGGCGTCTGCCTTGTGCGTGTAGAATGGGGAGGCTGTGGCCAGCTCTGCCCACCAGGACAAAGCGGGAGGGGGTGATGTCATGGCTGTCATGGAGCTGGTAGGTGGAGAACCCAGACTTTGAACTTGGGCACCTCACTTCGGACTAGAGCAGACCTAGGATTTGAACCCAAACTCCCATGGAAAGCTGTGGAGCATCCTTGGGGTGCTTCTGAGGGTCTGTGACTGTGGGGTAGGCCTGGAGTTCTACCTCCTGTGCCTGTGGCCTGATAGGGCTGTTCTTCTGCGAGGACGCTTGTTTGTCCTTCCTCCCTCCCTCCCTCCCTCCAGCCCAGCTGTGCCATGAGCAGCACCATGGCTGCCTGGGCCCTGGCTGACCCCTGCCCTCCTCTGTTCCAGGACACTGCCAGGGGAATGGCTACCGAGTCGGCTTCGGCCAGTGTGCTGGAAAAGTGCTGCCCTCTCTCTCGCCGGCATGAGGTTCTCTCTGGCTGGTGTCCTGGAAACAAAGGGCTGGGACCCCCCACCTGTGTCCGGAAACCAGGCCCCCTGTGGCTGGTGGCCGGTTCCTCCTTCAGTAACAATAAAGCCTCTGTGTTCTGTGCCCGCGCTGCAAGCCCCCTGGTTCCCGTCCGCCAGTTACCGCCCTGGGTGGTGTGAACACGTCCTTGGGAGACACTGTGCGCCGCTGGGCGGCGGGGCTGGGCCTCCGCTCGGGCGCCGACCTGGCCTCGCGTCGCTCGAGCCCGAGAGGCCACAGCAAGCGCGACGCCCGCTGCTGCTAAGAGGCCTCAGCCGGCGGCCCAAAGCCCGGCACCCCACCGTCCAGCGGCGGCGGACGCGACGTTCACGCTCACGTGTCGTCGCAGGGGCTGTGACGTCGTAGCTCTGGACGTGCCCCAGCCGACCTCGCAGGCGGCTTGACCTTCGCGGCGCCGGAAATGACGTTTCCTTGATCGCGACCTCAGCGCCATTTTGACGTCTCTAGGCGGACGGAAATGACGTTTATGTGTGACATTTATGCTTATGTGAAAAATCCCCCTGGTGTCCTGTCACTGCCGAAATGGCTTTTCAGGGAACGGTACATGACAGCCGGTGGGCTGTCACTTTGGGGCGGAAATTACGTTTTAACCCACCGACCTCACAGTATTTAGACCTTCCTGGCGCCGGATATGACGTTCGCTTGAGCGCGACCCCGCAGCCTTCCTGACATCTTGCTGCGGTGAAAATGACGTGAAGCCCGCTTGCCGTGGCAGCCGCTGTGAGGCGCCCACAGGCAGAAATGACGTTCGTTCGGCGGGCTGCGCGGTCGAACGTCCTGTCCGCGGGCGCTCACGCCCACGTGACGTCTCAGCCCGCGGGACGCTGCGCGGCCGCCGACG